TTAACATTGTATGAAGTTAAACAATGTGACCATTCACTCTAATTTTCAGCTATGTTACCTAATGTTGATCTAAAACTACATAACCATACCGGTCAACCTGTTAAGTAATCATGGCTTTTTGAAACCAAACAGTTGTACAGGTATAATTTTTCTAAGCATACTCAATTGATATTGCACTTTACAATACTGCAATAAATGTATTTACTGAAATGTTTCGTATTATATACAAAGTCACATCCATATTTTGACTATCTAAACCATTGACTTCAAGCCCTCATGAGGACTACGAACAACCATAACAGAACTGTGGGAAAGGGCAGAAAATTTCGTATGAAAATCATAGAGGGCGCCACCAAGCGCGAGTTCGCTTGCAAAAAAGAAATCACAATGGGACTCTATCGGTCAAAAAAATGAAAGATACTGATAATGTCCAACCGTACCTCGCAGTACGCAAATAGTATAGCTTCAAATAATTATATTACTTAAAAACTTTATAAATTATTTGTTGAGTCCCTGCCTGGATGTCCCTGAGAATCCGCTATATTATCTAGATGCAATTTGTGATGTAGAAGCTTCAAAAGATAGCTAAAGATAAGCTTTAGTCTTAAAACACTATTTAGCCAAAAGCGTGAAGATCAAAATCAATAGGGATCTTTACATAGAAACGCACCGTATAGCAATTACCGTTGTCTATATAATGCAAAATGAATTTCTAAGCTGTTTTTTTAAGGGATGTGAATAATATGTGTGATGATTTTTGTTTGAGTGGTCCACAGCACAGATTTTAGAATTACATTTAAATTTAAAAACAAAATCTAAAAAACAAAAGGGTTCTAGTTCATGTCCATGCTGTTGCCAAACTTAGCACAAAAGCGTAGCTCAGATCCGCTATTAGTTCCTTCGCGCCAGTACGACTACAACAGACTCACAATAATTTTTAATCGGATGGAAAATACAAAATATGCACATGGCAAATGTATGCATTCGTAGAAGTTACTGCATTACACTAACTTATTGCTTACTCCTCCATTTTATAAGTATCTGTACGAGTTTCATTTCTTTTATTGTATGTTATATTATTTACTGTATGGTATATTATGTATTGTCCACCAAGGTTCGTCTGGTATAACGAGTTCTCCTTGAAGACTTGTGACTTCCTAGGCGGATACATTTTAAGCAAGCAATTGCTGAGACGATGAACAGCATACATACACCTATTTAGTAGCGGGTTTATCTACACTTTCCGCAGCAGAAGCTGCGACGCACACGCAAAGTGCATTTCAGATGTGACCTCATGTAAAATAATGGCCGCGTTTTGCATAAGTGTGTCCTGCATAAGTGCAATGAGATAGTTGTAAACAAGAATTAATCTTGCAACCTGTTGCCACAGATATACCAGAATCAGACCAGTGGCATCAAATCGTGTATCTAGTGCTTTCTTTTTTATTGTATGGCGATTGTGACCATACATCTGCTCGTAGCCATCAGATTAAGTACACAAATGCAGCTAACTGAAGAGACCTATACAGGCCTGACCAGATAGACGAAAAGTTGTTCTTATGCTAGCATCTAATGGACGAAATATAACGATTTAGAATAAAATGCATATCTAGAATATTTAGTTTATTTTAACTATTTTTTGGATTTTCAACCATTTCCATAAACATAAGATGAACGTCTTTGGTAATGTATGTTTCACAACTTTAATACTCAGTTATTTTAAATGAGAAAATAGTGACAACAAGCAATATAGTTTTGAAGGTTTCTGCCATACGCTCCTAGCCCTGCATACAGTATCACGTTCCTTCTTTCATGCAAATGTGGCACCTGAATGCTATGAAACAGAGCTACATTGGGGACTCACAGGAATGTGTTCTAATTATGTCGTGGACATGATAGCTACCCAAAATTATAATATCTTCATAATGTGATATGCTGTCTCGTTGATGTGATACTAATGGCTAACTTAGATCTAACAGATTGCTGCTACTAAATCGCACAGCTCCCATCGAAGTCATTAAGCTTGCTACAGGCGAATCCGACAGACTTTGAAACTGATTAACTTCTCAGCTTCTTGGTCTGGTTGATTTTTCATATATATATTAGAGGTATTTTCCATTATTTTTTACACTATCTAGCTCTGGCAGCTCCTGAGCAGCCATATACCTACCATTTGTTTTCCGATATGTGAGTCCTCTACCTGCGGCCTCTCGAAATAGATCGAAAGTGCTTACCAACTGCTCCTTTCAAGTCATGGAAAAGCTCATTCACAGGGGCATTTATTGAGACAATAAACAGGCTGAACCCAGTGCTGGATATTCCGTTGTTCAATTCAGGAATCAATTGAGGCATAACCACATGGTTTGAGCATGGCCACAAAGTAATCAGACTGCGTGCTTTAGATGCCGTGCCAGTGGCCCGTAGATCTTTTGACGAACTTGACCCCTCATTTACTGTTTCATTTTCAACGAGTATCGTCTCATAATAGCATGTCCACTGCAAGTATTACCATCAACTTTTGTTTAAGCTTACTGTACACTGCCACCACACCTGATTTCTTACCAGAGAAAAGTCATTCTCTTGCCCGGTACCTTTCAAACTGGTGGTAGATATTGTGCCATGCCCCGTCTATGGCGACCGTATGCTCCAGGCGGATTTTTTGTTGGTTAAAGTTCCACAACTTGCACGCGGAATACACCATATGCATTTACAATTGACTCGGAGCCAATTTACCGAGATCTATTTTTTACTTGGCTTACGGAGTTTGTTGTTTCAATATTTGGATTGTTCTGTGTGTGAAATATGAGTCTTAGATGACAGAATCCTTAGACTTTAGGCTCTTAAAGAAGCCTCCTCGATTCTAGCAACGCATTCTCGTACTTCGAATCGCGACATCTCGTCACCTAGTCGCTGTTCTTCAACAATCCAATACCTAAAACGTTTGTACCATTTTCGTATCGTGCTTTCGTCTAAGGCCTTCTTGCCTAATGTTTTCATCAATTTTTGATGAGCCTTTGCAGCGCTCTGACCTTCGAGAAACAAAAACTTGAGGAGTGAGTGTAGATTTTTAAAACTGAAAGACATTGTTTCTTCTGAAATAAACTCAAATAGCTTATGCCCATAAGTGTTTAGAAAGCCGGAGTATACTATTTACACTTCGTCTGCTGGGGGCGAGTAATGGGAAAGTTTTTAAATTTCAAAAGTCACTGGGTTGGCTTATTGTTATTGACTTTCGAGCGAATAAATTTGTTGTCGTCTTCATGCAGGAAGCTGTCAAAATGCCGGAAGTAGTGGCTAACGTCTTAAGCCCACTACGAAAACAATACCTAGACTGAGCGAACAGGGTGGTACTACGACGAATCGTCAGTACGGCCTGGAACAAAAGAAACGAAAGCGGTTTCCATCGGTGTCGACCAGAACTGTTACTATAGCAGTCACTTCGACGATGATCTATGACTCCGCTAGCTAGCAGCTTAACATCTGACTATCCTGTCAATACATGGGAGCTCGTAGATATGCGTTAATTAATATAGATATCGACGTGTACATATAAACTGACGTATATTTAGTTCTACTTAGATGGACTACTGATACAAACTTTTCAATATCTATCCTAAAATATATATCTAACAACAATAATATTCGGCTGATCTGGATCAAGTAAAATAAAAGTTCTGTTCTAATAAAATTGATGTTACATTTTTAATTTACTTATTTTAAACTCTTAAGTATAACAATACGTTTGATCGATAGAATAATGATCTATAGCTTTGCTGTTAGTTTTCAAAAACTTATAAAGCTTTAAGAAATACAGCTCAACTCAAATTCATACACGCCCTAAAAGCGTTAAGGAGCAAATATCGCTCTAAATGTGTAAAGGCAGATAAACATGGTCAACATGGGCACACATAAAGGTACAAGTTATACATCTTGACGCGCTGCTTAAACTTTGATAACATTTATATCCTATTTTTTATATTTATCGAAGGTCCACAGAGGACTGTATAACTTCGAGCCGATTTATGAATAAATTGATTGTTGTAGATTGTTCTGGTGAAAGCATTCACCCCTGAACACGTTTCTGAAACACGTTACGGACAGTCAATAATAGGCGAAATCAAAATAACGTAGACCCAAATGCCTACAACAGAATCTACTTAGATTTTCTCATTTCTACATAAGCCTTCTAATCTTGCTTGTTTTAAAAAAGAGTGCAATCATAGATGGTTAGAAATGATTACCAAAATGTATCGTTTCGAAAAAATACAATACGCTGTAGGGTAAAAGTTTAATGAGGTCGTTGGTTCTTCTACAATTTAATACTGTACAATGTGGTAAATAAAAAAAATATCTATACAAAATAAATTTAAACAAAATTTTTTAGCGACGGATATAACTTTGACATTATACCTGTCTATATGCCTGACATTTCCATGGGCAGCAAAATTAACTAGCAATATCCTAAAGCTTAAGATAGACATTTTGTTTTTAAGTTGATTAAGTCTTATAATACGTAAAGCTCACTCATTCCGTGGAAACTTTTGACAGCTATTATGGACCTATAACTTTTGTTTATACCTAAACCAATGACGGCCTAGATCTGGCATCCAGGTTCTGCCTTCTCTTTATTGGCTGAATGATTGCCGAGCAGTCACAGACACTTTCTTATTACTGTGTCTAGAATGTGGGTACAGGACACGTTTGAATTCCGGTACACGTGCGCCGCCATTTTTTTTTAGACTTTTGAAGCTGTTTTCGAACAAAAGCCTAGAAATAAATTTCAATTCTGCTTTCATTTGTCTCCAATTTCCTCACTCATTTAAAATCATTTTCTTTCGGATGATTCTCAAGTTTAGGAAGTGGAAAGAATTACAGCAGGCTGGATATGGCAAATCAAGCGAAGACAGGCATTTGTGTGTTCGAAAAAAAATGCTAGAACATAATATTCTTGTGTTTTTGTTTGGAAGGCTTAATGTAAGCAGAGATTTGGGAACACTCACCTGTAGTAGACTGATAAATCGTTGCTCTGTAAAAAGGTTATCCAGCATCACCGGATCGTAATTCGGATCACTGAGACATTCCAAATCATCGAGCGATTCAATTATCACCGACACCGCACCTGTAAAAAGTACCAGCACCCGTGAATGGCCTATATATGGCCAATGAGATCGCCTGCTAAAAATTTTTGCAAGAAAAGTGCTTCCGCAATATATTTGGACAAATTTCTTTATCGTAAAATGTATTCCACTAGATCAATTCTATGCCTAGCAATGAATGGAGGCAGTTATATATATATGGATATATATA